AAGGGCACAACATCCTCAGAACAACGACGCAACCGTGAAAGTGACAGAAAAGGCAGAACGGGCCCAGCAATTCCGCAGCAACTAGAATAAGGGAGGCAGACCTCAACGACAACCATGACAAACAAGGACAAGGTTTTTGCAAATTCAATGTGCTGGACAATGTGCCAGACAAAGAATCGCATAATTGTAGATTGGAAACGCTCACATGTCACAAGAGCATCATCCTTTTTTGCGGCCTGAATCCTTCTTTGCGCAGGTGCTCGATGACGCAGGCCATTTGGAGGGTTGTGGGAGAGACGGCCTGGCAGGATGGAGAAGCAAGTGTTGGTGTCGTATATGGAGCAACTTGAGTTACCATTGAGGAACGTGTTGGTATGTCATGCGTTTCTTGTCAGAAGTGTTGAGTCAATATCAATAGCCAGTGAAGGGTGTCGACTTGGCTTTGAACACTCGCTCTTCATCAGCCTCCAACATGTTGCTTCCACACCTTGGTGGGTGTGGTAGCAGTAGTGGAAGTGCCTGTGTCATTTGTGTCATTTCTTTTGCCTGTTCAGATGGATTTGTGATGATTTGTGCTGGCTTTGAAGAGTGTTCAAATCCCGCTGCTGCTAGGAATTCCTCCTCCACCTCAGCCTCATCCAGTGGCACGGCCAAGTGCTGGCTGGCAAGAGAAGATCGGACAATCCCACGCCACTCGTGCAGCTTTTGAGGGAGCTTCCAGCACTTGAACATGTTCAAAGAGTCTGTCTATCGCAGACAAGCTGAGGTGATCTCCGTAGGCTCAGCTTCTTGGAGCAAATCTTGAAGTCCAATTTGCGGTGAAAGCCAGTTCGAGGTTTTCTGTGCAGGTCATGAACACCAGCAAAATAAGTGGTGCGGGTGATGAACACCAATAACATGCGTGGCAACATGCAGAGGAAGAGAAGGTTTCAGTCGCTTCTTGATCACTGCTAGAGGCTCCCAGTTTGTCAGCAGCTTCCTTGAGGATTGGAGGTTCTAAGATTGGTTCTGGACATTTTTTATGATTCATGTCCAGAACCAATCTTTTTTCTGGACATATAAGATTGGTTCGTCTAAGAGTGGTTCTATAGATTCATAGACGACATTTTTTTCAAGCTTCAAAGGGAGCGGCGGGAGCTGAGGTGGGGCACCCTTTCAGGTGTGCAGAAGCCTGCAAATACGTCAAGCGCAAAGGCAGATGAACGTGTGATTGCGCGTGTTGATATGTGTTGATGAAAGGTTTCCAGATGGGACATAAACACCAAAAGGCACTGTCACAACCTGTGATTAGGCGTGGGAAATGGAAAGCAAGTTCCTAAACTTTCTTGCGAGCTCAAAGTGGATTCTCGGGTTCTCTTATCGTGTCGGAGGCGGCTGCCGCGATGGTGCGAATTGCACAAAATGCCATGAGTGCTTCTGGAGCCGATTGCCAGCAGGAGATTCATGGGGAGGGCCGCAGCCGGGCAGCCAAGAGCATGTCCCATGTTGGCTCCATCAAAAGGCTGCTTTTCTCTCGCTGTCTGTGTATGCATTTTTGACACCGATGCAAAGACCGGGACAGACAGGGAAAACCTGGTTGCTTGCGGAATCGCTTCCGGACGACCCATTTGCTTGGGATTATATATTTGGACCCAGTTCTTTGTTGGTATGCAATGTAGGATAATGCAGGCGGCATAGAGATCTAATTACACAATGGAAGCTCGTTGAGAAGATCTGGAGAGAACTGACCTGTGACCTCGTGCGAGAATTCTTGTGATTCAATTGATTCTGCCAAGTTGGATCCTCGGCCTTGATATAGCTTGTTCTGAGGGCGCTCTAAACTAGATGAGTCTTCCCCTTCATCCCTGGTCAGGAGAGGGACTCGAGCAGCTGAAGATTCAGGAACCTGTGTCTCTTGGACCTCTAAACTCGTGTCCAGTTGCCGTTCCTATCCCATTGCCCATTGCCGCTGGTTGTGGGTATGTCATGGTATGTCATGGTATGTCATGGCCGCTCTGCCTTGGCAACACCGAGCTCTGCCTTGGGGCATCGGTGCCGCTTGCTTCCAAACTGAGGCATCCTGTGGAAACAGCACAGCCTTTCTCTGTGGGCTCCGCTGGTCATCCCTACACATGCTCAGCAGCTTGCAAGTATGTTTGGAGAAAGCAAGGATGCCGCGATGGTGCAGACTGCCCCAACTGCCACTATTGCAAGTGGCAGCGGCGTCCAAAGGAGGAATCCGAGAGCCCCACACTGGAGGGTTTGGACTCCATGCTGGTGAATATTCCTCCACCTCCAGGCCTTACTCCAATGCAGCCGATGGAAGCGAAGACCCTCGGCTTATCGGATAGCTCAGGTGACTTCCGTGCCTTTTGACACTTGCTTTTACTTGAGAACATGGAGATTTCCTTGGACACTTGCATATTTCACTGCAAGGCCACAAGAGAATCTTTCTTCCCTGGGCTCCCTTGGCCATCCGTACAGTTGCTTGGCCAGAAATGTGAGGTGAAGCAAGATCCTGTCAAGATGACCTGACAGCCACCTGCTTAGGTTGTGGGCTGGCCTGCAAATATGTCGGCAAGGCAAAAGGCCCAGCAGCGCGCATGGGTTTTGCTCAAACTGTTTTGAGACACAAGGTCACAAGGCAAGCTCTGGTTAGAGAGATCAAGAGACGCTCAGAGGCTTAATCATGTGTTTGCAACAAAACGCCTCGAAGTTTGGCCATGCCATGCAAAGCCCCTGCTGTTGTCAGGCTGCAAAGATGGTACACTGTGTCCCAACTGCCACTTGTGCCGTTGGAGTCGCTACGCGAACCTGAAGGTCTTTCACCTGTGAGCGGCCACAGTGCGCATCTGCGCATCTCCAGTGGCAGCCCCGGAGAGCAAGTTTTCTGCGGTTTGATGCGAGAGAATCTCACTTTGCCGGGAAACAGCAACATGTTGGGTGAACGCGGGGGGTTTGCCCTGACCGCAACATACCGAGGGTGCAAAAACCCTTCTTTTTACAGGGTTTCGTGGGTTTCAGGACACTCAACTTATCGTCTTGGAACTCATGAGTTCCAAGACAATAAGTTGAATGCCTTTTGAAGGCCGTTCGGTCCGGTCCCCGGCAGACGTCAGTGTTGTTCCCAACTGAGCCATTTGAGCTCACTGTACATTTGAGCAATGTGGCAATGAGTCTCTATGAACTGACCCCACCCCCCCCACCCCACCCCCCGTTTTTGCTTTTGGGCCCCTGTTCAAGCTGTTGCTTAACCATGGCTACTGTTACTTCCGCAATGCATGCTTCCGCCAATACTTTGGCTCAAGATACACTTTGTGTGATAGAAAAGCCGCTTAGCTCGCCTTCGCTCGCACGCTCTTGTGGGACTTGCTGGTCTGTAAGCCGACCTGTTGTTTACCACTCCACTGCGGGGGGCTCCACCCTCACCCCCCAACCCCGAAATACCTGTCAACTGATCGGATACATGTTACCGGCGGGCAAACACCCCCGTTGGCCCAACATGTTGTTGATTGCCTGAGGCCTTCGAGTGATCACTTGAAGATGTCAGAGCCAACTTGCTGCTTTGGACCAGTCATGAGGGTGTAATCCTGCCTGATTCACTCCACTCCTTTTGTGGTATTTGATGTTTGCTGCACAAGCCCCTTTCCAGCGATTAATTCGACACCCCAGCGCCGTTGGTTGGAGTGGCAGGCTTTTGTGCTTTTGCAAGACAAGCAGTGGGCACCACCACAACTTGCAAAGCTTGGTAAGTAGCCGGAACAAAGGTTTTCCTTGGGGAGATCTATTTTCCCATGCCACAGATTCAAGCACTTTCTTTTGTGTTCCGTTTGGGATCAAATTATGCTGCTTATATGGATGCAACTTGTCCACCAGGGATGCCAGGTGTTCCGCCTTCCACAAGGCTCTCCCAATCTGAGCACCGGTGGAGCTGGAGCCGTTTGGGAGAGGCTGCCGCATTTTTGCACTTTGAGGCTCACTTAGCTTGTCTAAGCACGTGTAAGCACGGGAGAAGGCTGCACCTTCCCCTAAACTCGTTTCAAGCGTGGAAGGGTGCTGCCGGAGTTGGATTTTTTTTGATGCCTTCAGCTGTGCTGACTGCCTGCGGTGAAATGACGGGCTAAGCGGAGGTTGAGTGGAGGCTGAGCATGCGTTTGGAGGACGCGTGCCTTCCGGGCTCTGTAACAAAAGAAGAACCGGACAGTCCCCCGCCTCTCCGTCAGATTACGGCGGCACAGGCAAAATGTTGACTTTTACATGAGAAGCCACTCTGATATCTACCTCTACCCACAGCTGTTGTATGATGTTCTCCCTGTCTTGTTCTTCATGGCAAAATGGAAAGAGTGAGCACTTCTGACATTCTCCATTTGTTCTTCACAAGACTCCAGAAGGTCATGTGATTCGGTGAAGGGTAACAACAGTTCGAGCCCAATGTGCTCGTGGCTTCCATATTTTTTCATAAGGTTCGAGTACGCTGCCCTTGCTTGCCCACGTGTAAGCGTGCTCGAAGAGTGGCTGCAAGCAAGACTTTAGGGCTCACCAATAAAACAGGAGGTGTCTTTGGAAGGAAAATGTCTCTTGCAGTCTACTCTGACTCCTTTGCCTGCTTGAGTGTTGGTGGCTTGCTGACAGGACATCCGAGGAAGGAGCTAGAGGAAGGATTCCTAGCTCTTGTCCCTTGTCCTTAAAGAGCACAGCCACGCACCAGATCACAAAGAGAGCGGGGGACTTTTGCTGATGGAATTCATACCGGGAAACCTTTGAAATGACGATCCCTTGCAGCAGCTTAGAGAGCGTTGCACAGACTTGCACAGATTTCAAAGGAAATAGCCGTGCGCGGCTGATGGGAGGTCGGAGGCCATTGCCGAAACTCCTACCGACTCATTGCCATTGACCCAACGAGTCAAGGCTTATTCAATTGGACCGGAGATAGGAACATGGGTACCGATGCATGCACTCCCAACGAGACCTGCATGGGTCGTTCGGCCCAAATCTCGATGGACAGAAGTGAATTTTGCGAGGCCTCCTTGAGAAAGTCACGATACTGGTGACCACCTCGCCGATCCCGTCGCATCCTTCGCCCATACTCCTGAGGCGGGAGGTGATGGTGGAAGCAAACAGATGCCATGACGACAGGGAACCTGCGCTCATTTTGGAGGGAAATGGTGTTAGGTTCGCTTCGTTTCTTCGTTTGCCTTTTCACCTCTTTTTAGCTTCACTTGTTGACCTTCGCTTTTCAGGACGCTGTTTGGATCCTTCCAAAAGCACCTTGCAGCGGCGGTGAACTGCCAGATAGTCTTGGACACTCACCTGAACAGAAGTGGTTCCCACCTTTCTGTCAACAGTAATTCCCTCAAGGCCACAGTAAACATTCTATTTGTATGAACAGAACAAGCAAAAGTTGCAAAGTCGTGGTAGAGAATGCGCGCATATGCAGTGTGGGTGCTTTGATTCTACCTTGAGATGAGGAGCAGCCCCTTATGAAGGTCTACAGATAATCACTTTGCAGCAGAGCTCAGGTTTGTGATGGGTTTGCACGATCTGATGGAAAAGACCAACTGTGTAGTGAGGAGGCGCGACGGTGTGCAATTGAGTTGACTGTTGTTGGTTCAGGCCAGGAAGTCAAAATCCAGAGAGAATCGCACAATGGATTTTGTATCGATTCGGTGGCATTCTGCACACTATGATACTTTTGCTTTCTTGCTTTGCAGCTCATTATTTATGGTTCAGGCCTATAGCAGGTTCTTGACCAGCATCCAGGACGACGTTAGGGTTCAACGCATGTACAAGCATTTCATAGTGTGAACAATGCGTGTGCAGTAGACTGCAGCTGTTCAAAGGTGAAAGCTTTCTAGATAGTTGCTATCCATGTCTGCTTGAAGATCCAACCTAATAGCCATGGCCTCCACCCTAACAGCGATGGCCTCCACCCTAATAGCGGTGGCCTCCAAACCTAAGAGCGATGGCCTCCAACAACCCGCCAAATATATCCTTCCACCAGGGCGTTATTTGCAGGAGCTTTGTGCTGCTGGAGAGCTGGGAAATTGTCGAGTCCTTGTGCTGAGGCCCCAGCTGGTCAGCTGGCCGGTATCGACGGTCTCGATACCCATGGAACGGATTTCTCAGTACCTCGCAGAATGGGAACATGATTCACTCGGAATTGCTGAATGGCGGGGATAGTTCACAGTATATGACTGCTCCATGGAAAACAAATCTCAGGCTACTGCGCAACCAAACAGCAGATGACAAAAGCATGACAAACAAACGACAAATTAATGATGATCCCAAATGCAAAACAAACGCACAAATATAGAATCAATGATTTCCAGTCCCTGGCTGGCAGAAATCTCACAATACTAGTCTGACCCAGATGGATAGCTTTTCAATGGTTTTTTGGGCAATTGGTGAGAGGGTCAGTGGTACTGCTAGATCAACATCAGTATCTGCCAGGATTGTAGCAATGAATTGGGGCCCGAGCTTAGGCCGGAGCTTAGATTAAGCATTTGCCTCTAGCTGTTCAGCTGTTGAAGTGTTATTTAACCTTGTGTGCCTTTGCCTGGCTGAGGCTGCAATCCTGCCACGGGTGCCCTTGCCATGAAATTCAGCCATCCAGCCTCCTACTAGCAAAGAGATGTAAAGAGAAAACGTTGAGTTCGAAGACTCCCAGGTACGGCTTGGCGTTGTCTGCAGCCCTTTCTGAAGTTGCCACAGAGTTCGTGCTAGTGGTACGCTGTTTGAAAGTTCCTGTGACAGGAGAATCACTCACAATCCCAACCCAACTGTGTTTTTGGGCCGGAGATAGTCGTATTGCGAGAGCGATCAGTGTGAACAGCTGTTCCATACATTTCGCCCCGGTTGCACAGTTTCTGGAATGAATAGAAGCGAACATGAGCAAACGCAACTGACACAATTTGGAACCAACGGCTGAAACAGGTGCACCTTCAGTTTCGAAAGAACCTTTCTGAAGGTACAACATGACTGGCTCTTTGTCAGAGATGTTGACTTGACCTTGGTAGCGTGGAGCTTGGAGTGCATCGATGCTATGTACATAATGATTGAGCTGTATGTAAGGCAACCTGAGATGGGTGTAGTGGGAAAAGAATGGAGAAGAGGGTTGCCAAGTTGCTGAGAGAGGACAAGTATTGTAGTTGCCGAGTTGCCTTATTCCGACTGATTCCCAGTCTCTTTTCCAGGGTTTCGAGGCGTGCAAAGCCAGAAGGTACACTCCTTTCTACCTGAGGTGTTTCGACCTGTCGATGGTTTTTGGCTCCGTTTGGTGCCCATTTTTTTTTCCTCAATTTGAGCACTTGTTCCTAATAGCAAACATTGTTACTACTAGTAAGGCACTTGTTACTAGTAGCGATGCACTTGTTTCTAATAGCTTCTCCCAACCACCAAGGGTTCTTGATCGACCTGCGGGTTTCTTTTCGGCCCGTTCGGAGCGGACGAAAGGTTCTTTTTCCACCCGTTGAGAATTTCCTTCCGTTTGGTGGGCATGAAGTGTTCTTTTTTGACCTGCCCGGGTTCTTTTTCAATCTGTTTCGTGACCTGCTGTCTCTTTTTCCAACTCGTTTGCCTTGGGTTGTCCTTTTGCACAGAGGGTTCTTCTGTTTCATTTGGACCTTAGGACCTTAGGATCTTGTTAATTTGTCGTTTGGATGTGGCAGGTTCCATGGACTTCTATTTGGTTCAATGCCGGCCAAACGCGAGGAACAGCATGCCCGCTTGCTATTATCGGGTCTATCCTTTGATCTCTAGCACCCTCTCCCCCTGTCCAGGTGCTTGCTGGTGGGGCTGTGGCGGGGGGAAACAGACAAACATGAACCTTGAAACATGTCAAAAAAGAAAGCAACACGGGCAAGCTAAAAAGTAACACAGATTTGTGAGACAACTGCACTGCCAGGAGTGCCCGTTATACTTACAGTAAAGGGAGTCCCAAAACGGGCTAAACAATTCCTAAGGCATTAAACAAAAAGGGCGTTCAAAAAGAGCGGTTAAGCAAATAGGCCAAAAAAGAACATCAAAGCAGGTCTGAAGCAGATCAACAAAGAATCCTCTACCAAGCAGTCCCGAGAAACATTCAAGCGATGCAAAAAAGAACTCTCAGGCATTTGAAAAATAACACCACTGTCACAAAAAGCGCCTTGAAGCACATACAAAAGGATGCCAATAATACCATGCAAGTCTCGAGAGAACCCTAAAGCAGACCCCCAAAAACCTTGAAGCACGTCAAAAGAAACAAAACGTTTCACAAAGGAACTCTGAAGCGGGTCAAGAAAGAACCTTGAAGCAGGTCAGACCAGAGCCGGCTACCAAACAGTCAAAACAAACCAAAACAATCGTCACCCCACACGTATTTGCCGGTGGAACTCGCACATACTAAGGTCGATGCCATGGACAAAGACCCTGCAATCAAGTACATTGGCATGCAGTCGCTGACGACACTGGACTACGTGCCATGGCTGAAAGGAAGTGGTGCACATATTCTTTAAAGCATTTTAAAGCTGGTTGCCACTGGCCTGTTCACATTTGTTAACGACATCCTGGCGCGCCACGTAGTTTGGAGTTGTTTCACAATGACGTGCCGCGAGCTGGTGATATGGTCCATCGCATACAGGGTTTTTCATCCCTACCAACACAATCAGTTGCTCTTTTGGCTGGGAAACTGAGAGAACATAGCTGGCACATGACCTGAGCGCAGGCCCGAAGAATGCAGCTGAGGTGGGGCCTTGTCATTTGTTGGGCTTCGACTTGTCCCAAAGTGAGCGCTGTGATTGAGGTACAAGCTGCAACTCCCCTCAGAACGCATCGTCGCAGGGCTACGCCTAGTTCCTCAACTCCTCTGGTCTGAGTCTCAACGCAATCAAGTCAATGCACCTCTACCACAGGACACGTGTTTGGCCAGATTTGACTTCCCCACGTGTTTGCCTTTCGCTTCCATTGCCTCCGAACAAAGGGCATCGCTACGAATGGGGCTCCTGACCTTACTAGGAGCGGTGTTCGCTACTAGAGGCTCCTGGCCTCGCTACTAGGAACAAGAAGCTACTAGGGGCTCCTGGCCGTACTACTAGGAGCAAGGATGCTACTAGGGGCTCCTGGCTTCGCTACTAGGAATGAGAAGCTACTAGGGGCTCCTGCCCTTACTACTAGGAGCAAGGACGCTACTACGGGCTCCTGGCCTCGCTACTAGGAACAAGAAGCTACTAGGGGCTCCCGACTGCTAGGAGCAAGGACGCTACTAGGGGCTTGTGGCCTCGCTACTAGGAACAAGAAGCTACTAGGGGCTCCTGGCCGTACTACTAGGCGCAGAACGCTACTAGGAGCTCCTGGCCTCGCCACTAGGAACAAGAATCTAGGGGCTCCTGGCCGTACTGCTAGGAGCAAGGACGCTACTAGGGGCTTGTGGCCTCGCTACTAGGAACAAGAAGCTACTAGGGGCTCGTGGCCTTACTACTGGGAGCAAGGACGCTACTAGGGGCTCCTGGCCGTACTACTAGGAGCACTGTTTGCTAGGCCAGGAGCTCCTAGGAGCAAGCAGCTACGAACGTAACAAGAAGCTATGATCGGGGCTGCGCCGCCTTTTTGTTCAAAGGGTTGCCGCTGCCAGGTATGACAAGCCGCACCTTTGTCGAAAGCGGCACTATGTCGAGGCATGGCCATGGGTCGAAGAGACCTCATGCTTTAGGCACATCGAATAACCTTGCAGACCAAAGCTGACCCAAACAGGGTCATGCTCAGCCATGAGGTGGTCTTACCAGAAGCCAACATGACCGTTTTGGAGAACCCAGAACGAAGGCCCGCATCCCAAAAGCTGGAGAGTGCTGGATGGATGTAATTGGGAAAGGTCACATCGAAACAAATTTGCGATAAGGTATGGAGTGGAACGGATGTGGCCGAAACTGCTGAATTCCCAAAACCTCGCGGAGGCTCCTCGGCCGCTGTAAGACAACACAGTCGTCTCAGTAGCCGAGGACTCGTGGAGTCTTTGCGGCCTTTTGATTTTTTCCTAGTAGCGTCCTCCTAGTAGTAAGGCCAGGAGCCCCTAGTAGCGTCCTTGTTCCTAGTAGTACGGGCAGGAGCCCCTAGTAGCTTTCTCTCTTCTCTCGTGCCAGGATCATTTGCGCTACGGTACTTTCTTTTGGGATGTTGGAGCTGAAGTCGTGCTGCACTGGCGCCTTTCCAAAAATGATTGGAGCTTTCGCGACATTTCGCAGTCGTGACTGCTCCGTGCCAGATACCACCTCTCGGGCCGGAAGCTCCTTGCACAAACCAACCCGGACGCAGAAAAGCCACTCAGTTGCAGTGGACATTCCGAGATGTCGCGTCAGATCTTTGTGATTAGGCAGAGTTTGTGTAGTTGGTAGTTGGTGGTCCTTACACTGACCATGCGAAAAGATCTGATGATGATGACTCGACTTTTCCAAAGGATCCAATCTGTGTGACAACGACCAAGCAAGCATGACTAAGCCAAAATCTTCATAAATGCTTCTCAAAGTGACTCTCTGTCGCCCTGTGTTTGCAGCGGACACATGCCGCCTCAAACTCATTGTGTGCACAAGGTCTTTTTTTGGGGCAGCCCGACAACCTTCAATATACACAACTGAACTCCAAAGATCACACACTAGGCTGCTAATCCAAATTATTTTGATAGCGGCAAGCTGCTTTGCACACCGAACTCCAATGATGCACGAATGGTTTGGTGAAGGTCCAAGACTTCTCCCACACTGACCGCCAAATGGCCTGGTGAGCCCCTAGTAGCTTCTTGCTCCTAGTAGTAGGGCCAGGAGCCCATAGTAGCGTCCTTGCTCCTAGTAGCGATGCCAGGAGCCCCCTAGTAGCTTCTCCCACACTGATTCTTTTGTGGTTCCGTTTGCCATTTGCAAGATTTATTCGAGGCTGCAAGTGGAAGGCTTGCGCGGAGTGCCGACCCTGGTGAGCAAAAGATTGCACATCACCAACCCTGAGGTCCCTGAGGTCAAGTAACCAAGCAAGTGCAAGCTGTATGTTGAAGCAGCAGCCGTGATGCTTCCTTGCTGTTTTGGGGCTTACAACTGAGCCGGCTCATGCTACTCACTGCTACAGCTCCATGCGCAGCCGTCCGTTAGTTTTTCTTCCGAGTGCAGCCCGCAGTCGCGAAATGCCTGTATCGCTGCCGTCCACTGAGAGGGATTTCAGCACCGTGAAGGCACTTGGGCAAAACGTGTTGGAGGAACTATAGATACTGCAGGATTCTGGGGGTCCGAATTGTCATTTTCCAACAGGTGCAGCTCGTACCGTGCTGGCAGAGCTCGAACTTGAAATGTGACACTGATCGACAGGTGGCAGCTGGCCGACTCCATGAGCAAGGCTCGGAAACGCAAAAGAGAGAGAGAGAGAGAGGGAGATAAATATTTTATAATATTTTTATTGTTGCTCACACCTTGGCAATGCATGCGTTGTGGAAGAAGCGCTTAAAGGCAAGTGCTATTGTCTTGGAGAAAATCGAAACACAAAAAACTCACCGTGCCCATCAACTGCAGGCACAACGAGCGACTTCAATCACTCCAACAACTTGGCAATGTACATGACAGAGCAGCATAGCAGCAAACAGCATCCCCCAAATCCAGTCTGGCTTGTTGGGATGTAGCATTTTTGCATTTTAGAGTGACCCCCACACGGGAGAATTTGGCGAAGCTTCAGGTTCGTTTGGAGTTCACATCTCACAGCGCAAGGTCTCGTGCTTCTCAAGATGCCTCAAAGTTATGGCGGGCCACACGACGGCAGGCCTCACGCATCCACAGCAGGCGAACTTTTTATCCGGAAGATGAGGTAGCATGGCTGCATGTAGGATGGGTATGGGACTTGGCTTGGGGAATGAAGCCTAGACGTTTCTTTTTCCTTTTTGCTAAAGATCTAGGAAGCAAATGAATAGTGCCAGCTTGAGCTATGCTGCGTCCTAGCTATTAGCAGGTTACCTAGTACTCAAGCTACTAGCTTTACTTTCTTACTTACTTACTTGCTTGCTTATATACTTATATAATTGGCGCCTACTCATTTAAAAGGAGAACGCAAGAAGACATTGTGTGGCGATGCATTTGACATTTTTGTTCTTTGAGGTCCCGAAGTCGCGCTTGCAGGCACAAGAGAAAGAATGGAGGAGACTGTTGAGGAAGAGAACCATGCCTGCAAATGACGAGTTAGATGTTGCTGCTTGCAATCAGGGATGAACCTTTTCTTTATCGTCCTTGCCCTCAACTGACTGCGTCAGAATTCCAAGCTGCATGCCTACGATTTTAGGCAAAACAGATTGGGGCAAAAGTGCAGCATCTGCGTTCTCCTGCTCAAGTACGGCAGTAAGCACTGTTTCTTGCCTTAGATGAGATTGCGAGAGAGATAGTAGACTTGGATTGAACGTACGCAGACTTTTTAAAAGCCCTTTCAAGCATGCTGCCCGCTGCCCCAAGGCTACAGCCTGCCCTGCTGGAGTCTCAACGCAAGATGCTGTAGCTTGGTACAAGCACAGAAGCTAGAAACACAAAAGAGATGTAGGACTAGTGACCATACAATTTATACACAATATAGCAATATATAGTATATTATGTACAGATTGTATGGTCACTAGTCCTATGCATATGTATATATACATATTCTGATTTTCCTTGAAGTTTTGATCATACTGTTTCCTGTTTTTTGTGCACCTTTGTGTGGCGAAGGTTAGAAGCTTAATGGCAGTCTCGATATGTTTCACCACCTGACAGCCCGACAAAGATCTCTGGGAGTTTGCATCACCATGCCGCCCGAATCAATGTCTAGGCACTGGCCCGGCCCGGGGCGGCCGGGCCAGTGACTTCAGGGATCTGAATAAAAACCACCAAGACCTTAAAGCGCCCATAGTTACAGTATGTTTCCCTAAAAATCTAGGAACCAAATGAACAGTGCGAGCGCTTCTTCAAGGAAGCTCTCCCCACCGCCTTTAGGGCGGCGTGGGGAGCTTCCTTGAAGAAGCGTGAGCTATCCTGCGTCCATATGTAGTAGCTTTCTAGCTACTACTAGTAAGGCCCTTGTTACTAGTAGCGATGCACTTGTTACTAGTTGCTTTCTAGCTACTGGCTACTTGTTAGCTACTACCTCCTTTTTCCCTCTACTAGCGGCCTACCCCCACCCCCCGGTGACTAGCATGCACTACAAATTAGAAGGACCTCCAGCAGCCGCTTTTTGCAGTAGTCAGGTCCAATAAAAAGTCCTTTTTTCCCTTTCGCTGTTTCCTCGCGACCTGACGATGGCATCGTTGTTTTTGCTCCATTCGCTTTTTGGTTTTTAGCCGAATACTAGTGAATGCGACGCAGGTGCGACGCCTGGAGCGCGATGGCTGCTTTCTGTGGCACTCGCAGGCGCTCCGCGAGCCCCGAAAGACGAAGCGTTTTCTTTCTACTAGCTTCTTGTTACTACTAGTAAGGCCCTTGTTGCTAGAAGCGATGCCAGGAGCCCCTAGTAGCGTCCTTCGCTGGTTGCGGTGTGTCGGGTACCGGCGTTTTCTGGTACCGTTTGGCTTCTGGTACCGGGAGGAGGTGAGGAGGTGAGGTGCTTTTTCCGATGTTTGCGAGGCTTGACAGCATTGCAAAGGAGGTGTCTTTTTCGAATGCGTAGCGAAGGGTTCCCGTTTATAGTTGGGGGGGGGTTGGAGCTGTGTTTGCATGGCTTGCATCGTGTCGTCGTCTGTCGTCGTCTCTCGTCGTTTGTCGTCGTCTCTCGTCGTTTGTCGTCGTTTGTCGTCGTCGTCGCGTCTCAAATTCGCTGCCATTGGGGGAAGCTTTTGCAAGTGACTTTGCATGGATGTGTCACGTGTCAGTTTGCGCCGCTATTCCATTGTGATTTGCATGACAAGGACATGTCGCGCAAGAAGCGTGATGCATTTCGCTGCACAGGCGCAGCGTTTTGTGAGATCCGCAGATTGCTGCGCAGTTCCATTGGGATTAGCGTTTGGAGAGTCGTGTTTTTGGGGTGTTGGATGTGGCCGTGCCATTGGGATTTGCGTTTCAGGGTGTGGCATCGAAGCTCGATTTTCGTGACAAGTCTCAGCTGAAATGGCGATTTTGGTGGATGGGAGTGTGCTCAGAACGGGTCGAAATCATTCCAAACGTATGGTGTGGTGCAAATTTTGTTGAAGCTCACATGAGATGATATTGTTCTTTTCGTGGCAGGCGCAGGACTTTGTGCGGGCTTTGAGGCGTGGAAGTGCGATTCTCGTGGCAGGCGCAGGGAATCGTGAGGTTGCGGTTGGGATTGGCGTGTGAGCGGATGTTGTTTGGAGGGGCTGGAATCGCGAAACTGCTTGGCAGGGCTGCCTGATGTGTGTGCTCCGATGGGTGTTTCCGCTTGACTTTTGGAGGAGTCTCGTACGAAACGCTCGTTTTGCAGACTTTGACGTGTGAGTTTTTGAGGAAGTCTCGACCGAAACGCTCGTTTTGGAGACTTGACCTCTGCGGAGATCGTGCGTGTCGAGTGTGCGAAATGCAGGCGAGAGTGCGATTTGTCCCATGCGCGCGCAACCCTCTGCGGAGATCGTGCGTGTCGAGTGCGCGAAATGCAGGCGAGAGTGCGATTTGTCCCATGCGTGCGCAACCCTCTGCCGAGATCGTGCGTTTCGAGTGCGCGAAATGCAGGCGAGAGTGCGATTTGTCCGGTGCCCGCGCAACCCTCTGCGGAGATCGCGCGTGTCGAGCGCGCGAAATGCAGGCGAGCACTGGCGACTTTGTCGTACAACTTTAGTCCACGGAGTATCTGGGGAGCTGGAAGATGAGAACTGTGACTTTGTAGTGCAACTTTAGTGCGCGGAGCAATCTGCGGAGCTGGAAGCTGAAAACTGGCGACCTTGTAGTACAACTTTAGTACGCGCAGTATCTGGGGAGCTGGAAGAGTGTCCCACAAGAGTGTCCCACAAGAGTGTCCTGCAAGAGTGTCCCACAAGAGTGTCCTACAAGGATTTCCCACAAGAGTGTCCTACAAGAGTGTCAAACAAGAGTGTCCCACAAGAGTGCCCCACAGAGTGTCCCACAAGAGTGTCCTACAGGAGTCTCCCACAAGAGTGTCCTACAAGAATGTCTCACAAGAGTGTCCCTCCCACAAGAGGGTCCTACAAGAGTGTCCCACAAGAGTGTCCCACAAGAGTGTCCCACAAGAGTGTCCCACAGAGTGTCCCACAAGAGTGTCCCACAAGAGTGTCCCACAAGAGTGTCCCACAAGGTGTCCTACAAGAGTGTCTCACGAGAGTGTCCCACAAGAGTGTCCTACAAGAGTGTCCCACAAGAGTGTCCTACAAGAGTGTCCCACAAGAGTGTCCCACAAGAGTGTCCTATAAGAGTGTCCTACAAGAGTGTCCTACAAGAGTGTCCCACAAGAGTGTCCTACAAGAGTGACACACAAGAGTGTCCTACAAGAGAGTGTCCCGCAAGAGTGTCCTATAAGAGTGTCCCACAAAAGTGTCCCACAAGAGTGTCGCACAAGAGTTTCCTACAAGAGTGTCCCACAAGAGTTTCCTACAAGAGTGTCCCACAAGAGTGTCCTGCAAGTGACACACAAGAGTGTCCCACAAGAGTGTCTCACAAGAGTGTCCTACAAGAGTGTCCCATAAGGTTGACCTACAAGAGTGCCCCACAAGAGTGTCCCACCAGAGTGTCCTATAAGAGTGTCCCACAAGAGTGTCCTACAAGAGTGTCCCACAAGAGTTTCCTACAAGAGTGACCCACAAGAGTGTCCTACAAGAGTGTCCTTCAAGAGT